TCGTCATCAAATAGTTTTGACTTCCCGCCTATGGAGAACACAGTTGCCGATCCCAAAGGGTGTCACTAGTGCCTGCGTCGAAATTCTGGATATAAAGTGTCTTTTCATCATCCCTTCGCTTCGGTCTTGTTCCGTCTATGTGTTGGGACATTTCTCCAATCGAAATGGCATTGTTACTCATGTGGGGACTCTTAAGCTGTCTATCTCTAGGACGGATGACCCAGCCAGGCGTACAGTTGAACGTGGTTTTTTAAACAAGCTGAACGTGGCTTTAAATTTCGGCGGTAAAAACCTTGAGCGCGGTTGTAAACAATTCAGATCGTGACGTCCCTCATTTAAAACTACATAACCTAATAAGTCATACCTCCACTCATATATTAGACAACGTCTCTTAAATGCTCTCTGATTTTATCTTATTTCTTGGGCTCTTACCCTTAACTAATCCTAATCCTAATCCCTAACCTACCTCCTAACCTACCTTCTAGCCCTGGTGTTGAGGAGGGAGGTTGAATAGAGATGTGTCAGGCATATGTGTGTAGATTGTTTATTTCGGTTGGGGTGACCAGAGTTGATCATGGTTTTGAAAAAGTGGACCCAACTTTTGTTAAAACCCAACATACAATTTGCATGCAGGTGTTTAGCCAAGCCAAGCCCAGCCCAGCCCAGCCATACAGCTTGCTTTCCCACATCAACCCACCGACATGACGTCACAGCAGCGACACAACTGCGGCGCTGCCAACGTTACATTTCCAACCATGCGAGCTTTCAAGTTTAAGGGCTATACAAACCTGCAAGGATCGAATCAGCGTCCACATTGAAACTTTGATCGCGTGCCCTTGTGCAAGAGACGAGGAGATGGCTGGGCATTCGCTCAATGGTTGGCAATGAATGTGCCAATTCTGCCTTAACCCTGGGTGTTGTCCAGCCTTTAAACTAGAGATCCGGTTAGAGACGCCGGGGCTAGAATCGAAAATGGTTACTTTCGGAGCCCCCAGAGGGAAAAAGAAAGAGATAATTATAGATTTATTAAGCTTAAGCAACCGCGAGAAGCATCGTCGCACGGAATTTACCCTGTCCAGCCCCCGCACCTGCATTCGAGCGCACCTTGTCTGTAGAGAGGCTGGGTTGTGGATGGCAGGCGAGAGATGTGGGGGGCGGTGGCTGATGAGGGGAAACGCCACATGGCTAGAGTTAAATCAAGCATCGCCCATCTCTGAAACAAGTTCTGTTGTTGGATTTAGAAAAGCTTCTGTGTTATCCCCTTCCCCGCGCAGGGAGAGTATCTGTTTGAGGAATCGCGGGTTTCTTCTTCAACAGAATCATATTCGGGGATTTAAAATAATGTTTTCAACAATGAGAGCCCGCTTCTAGGAACCTTTGCATCCATATGCTTATAGGATTTCAATTATGACCACCGTTCAGCCATGATGATGCTACCGTCAGGTTCTCCCTGCCCCCTTGGACGTATCTCTCAAGGAAGATCTAATGTTGATAACTAGCAGGGGTTGATAAGCTTATTTCAAAGTTAATCTGTAGTTATACACACGTCGACTATTTTGTAGACCTAGTGGCAATATCATAATTATTGGCATTGCAAATTCTCTACATGTTCTACTTTGAATATATATATATATATATATATATATATATATTCCATTTACTTTCATTGTTAATGTTTTTTGATACGTGTTTACCCCGCAAAACTCTCTTAAGTTTTCCGTGTGTATGAAAGCAGATTGTTTTCCCCGTGGAGTTACTCACTCCAAACCGTGTTCACTAGGCTGTGCAGTTAAAGCTGTCCAGTTATCTGGTCATTTGTTCTCTTATAATCTTGTTTTTCATTTAAAACGAGCTTTTTCAATGTATGTACGTATATACATATATCGTTGTCTGAGAAACCTTCGGTTCACCAAGGTCCATAATTGGATGAACAGAGAGCCTTGGAAAAAGGCAAAAACCCAGGTTGTCTCTCAATATCAGAGCTTTTACCTACACTCCATAGTCCATAGGCAGCAGATATGTTTCCGCCTCTGACATAGCAAATATACGGACATTCGTAGTACAAATGTACGTCCGGGCTGACCATTGCAAGCGTTGGGCAAGGTTGCTGGAGTTATTGATCTGGAGCCACACCCGGTGACCAGTAGCAGAGATGCCAATCACGCCGCCTGATGCCAGAGTAAAGCTTCTGGGAACTGCTAACCGTGCGAAGCATTAAGAGACTTTGAGTCCTTTCTCTTCGTAGTTTCGCCTATTAGATATAAACAGAAGGTCAAGAAATGGAAGGATTGCCGTCCGGAATATTTCCCAATGATTCAATTCTCTTTTGTTGTCTCACTGTCCTCAATTCCATCCACCCTTTTCTCTCTTGCGCCACCTGTTCCCATTTCCTTCTGTGTGAGTCTATGTACATTTGTCCGTTTTCGTTCTGCGAGGTTGGACGACCGTTGAGATAAATCGAGCTGGACTGTAGAGGTGAGTAAGATCATATGATGCTCTGCTCAACATTGGACGTGAGACAGCCCGAGACTCCGTTGGCGGGAGTTGTAAAAGAACCCATCTCTAATCCGTTCTGCATTAATAGACTGCTTTCACCTTTCTTGCAATGGACTGCCATTTTATCTTCTGGGTGCACTTGACCCCGAGAAATGCAAAGAGAGGACACTGGGGGATCTTGCCATATGGATAAATCCTCCCCCTTGAAACCCTTGTCAAAAATGCGGCGTCTGACGCGGGAAAACTGGAACAAATTCCACACATCCATGCCAGAAATAGCTGTGGATAAGCCATTGTACTACTGCATCTGGTTCCCATGCCGCAATGGAGGGTAATGGCCACAGTGCATTCTTTTTTAATCCAGTTTGGATGAAGAGATGTGTATTTTGTGCCTCTAATTCTCACCTTCCCAGGACAATCTTCATGGCTGCTAACACATGCTTGACATGATAAACTGGTGAGGCTGCGAGCTCCACCCTCTTTTTTTTTTTTTTTTCATTCTGTCTTTGTCTCTTGCTTCGAATTTCTTCCCCGTGATTTTCTGTCGGCGAGGTTTCTAGCAAGTCTGTGGAGATTTATGCCCTCGAAGATCGATATCAAGATTCTTCTGGCTTCCATTCTCATTGCAGATTACATTAACAGAATACTAACAAGGTACTCAGGCTTTTCAACCTTTCAGGCCCCTTCAATGGTTCATTCCAACAATCAAGTCAGTAGAAGGATTAGCTCCCTTGTCAATCCAAGCCCTTAGATGCATGTGAATCCACCCCCCCCCTTTTTTTTTTCTTTTCTTTTTTTTTAACCCCTTTCCCTGCTGACACCACCAGCCATTTTAACGTCAAAAATTATCCATATCGCACACTTTCGTTCCATGTATTCATGTTTTCTCCCATCTCGGTGGGGAAAGCCATAACGTTATTTTAGCTGAATGAACTGTTGCTTCCTGGCATTAAAATGGGGCTCGAGGCACCGAAATGTATGCATGCATGCAATCAAGCTGCATTAATGGAATTAACGACGCATAAGTGATGGGACCTTGAGGGAAAGCATTGTATTGTCGCGAGACTGACGGATGTGATAGGTATTATCTATGTTTAGAAAATGTAACTTGAAACAGAGCTGATAATTTCCTTGAGTTGAAGAAGGGGGAATTGTTTTCGTTATTGGAAATGTTTGCAGTTGGTCTGCTGGCAACTATGTAGCCCATTAGAAAAGCTCAATAGGTAGAAAGTTACTTTCTGTTCTAAGAAAATTAATGCCTCGGCCACAAAAGTATCTAAGCTATGTGTGTACGGAGTATGGAAGCACTGCGAGTTTTATTTGCATGCAGCTGAAGCTTTGGTTTTCGAGTGGCCAGAATATATGTTTGATGGAGAGAAAAAAGGAACTTAACAACGGCGCTAACTTATACTATTTGCTTGTTAAAGAGCTAGGTTCCCCCAGTCCGCCAGTCATTCTTCCTCAATCATTCACTCCATCAGATCATCAGAGTCTCCTCTCTTGATCAGCCGCCATATGCTCGTTTTGCTCCGAAATCTCCAAGCTGCAGCACGAGTCCATCGGTTCATTAGAGTGGAAGCATCTGTAGCTTCTTTCCTTTTCCTTCCAGTGGACTGCTGACTGGGTTTCACTACTCGCAGAGTCCCAGACTCCAAGGCATCATTTTGCTCCGGGTCAAATTTCCCTCAAGGCCCGCAACCATGCCCATTTCTGCCGTTCCGATCTCCAGAATTTAAGATTCAGACTCCAGTGGAGTCTTGATCCACCTCAATTATTTGTTTACTTTTCTTCCTCGACCGTGTTCTCAACGATGCACTGTAAAGTGTGTAACAAATAAAAATAATAATATCCTTGATTGAAACATTTCTTGTCTGGCTGTTCGTTGTTATTATTTATGTAACTACCATACGGGTAGTTACCATCCCCGTATATTAGTTAGTTATTATTGCCCGAACCATGGGAAAATCAACACTCGCAGCCAGTCAAAACAACTTCAAGGAAAGTTACGGACTAACAAGGGAAATCCGTTTCTCGTACGACGGCTGAGCACTCTCTCTGCATGGATCCCTCGCAACCTTGGGTTAATTTAGTGGGAAGCCGCTCGACAACCTAGGCGAATTGTGTATGCACAGGAATGGGGCCGCTTGAAAATTGACACCAATAGATTATTAGTGCGGTGGAGACAAGCAGTTTTAGCATTGGCATAAAAAAGGGTTAGAGGTTGAGCCGTTGAAGAGCTTTGCGACAGCCTACCTATCAGGCCGGGAGAGAGATTCTCACACAAGCAATACGAGGCTGAATATTGATTGAACAGGCTATGAAGGAAATGGGATTTCTATTGTCAACAGCAACAACAACAACAACAACAACAACAAGTAATAGAAGAAGATGGCAGGTAGCAATAGCAAGCAATTATTTAGATTAGGTGCAGGTACATTGTGCAGTTTGCACAGTTGCAGAGAGCTTGTTGAGGTTGGTAACTTTGGATCAGTTCCACAAAAAGATTAGGCGGCTGGGAGTCCAAGTACAAGGGGTACGGCAATACGGCAGTACGGCAGTAATAATACAGAAACACACGACAAGTTTGCCATCGATACAGTTTCCAAACCAAGGTTGATCCCACACAAGGATGGACTCCACCCGCCACAGGCTTCTATAATTGGCCATCTGCCAGCCTCTGCCAGCCTCTCCCAGCCCTCTTCCTGGGGGGCGTCAGGTGTTCCACTTTTGACCATACAGTGACCATACAGTGACCAACAGCGACCAACAGCGACCAACAGCGAACCAACAACGACCAACAGTGACCAACAGTGACCAACAGTGACCAACAGTGTGCCATAGAGGGACCAAACAAGTGACCAGCCTTTTTGCCCCCCCGTATTGCACACCTACGATACGGTAACGTACCCATTCACCTCCCCCCCCGGTCGCTTGGAAACTTTCGCTTACGTTTCCGCTTTCTTTTTCTTCGGCTGCTCGACTCATTTCTTTCCTCTCTCTCCTTTCTCTTCTTCCCTCCTCCCACCTCTTCTGAATCAACATCAACTTCATCTGCTTCAAGCCAGTGTAGCTGCTCAGCTCCTGTTCCATTGTGTAATACCCAGCGTTTCTCTTTGCATCTGCTTAAGCTCATCTTTATCTTTTTCTCCTTCTATTCCTTTTTTTTTTTTTTTTTTTGAGATACCCCAGATACCCATATCGTTACTATTTATACCCCTATTTTAATATATCCAAATCGCCTCTCAAATCCCCTCTCAAACTTACAAGCTTGCATCAAGCCTCGTTGTGCCTGCAATCCATTCATCTTGCAATCACGCAGCTCAGGATTTAGGTCGATCGATATCCGTTCCAACAATCTTTTCCGCAATCTATCTACTTCCCTTCGGATCTCCGATCTTCCTTTCAACTATCCACAGTCAAGATGTCGGAAGTTAGGAAACCCGCTGAAGAGATCCCTGTTGTTGCGTCTGCTGTTGAACCCGCCACAGATGCCACAGCTGCTGCTGCTGCTACTGCTGCTACTGCTGCGTCCCCTACAGAGACTCCAACGCAAACTCCTGCCCCAGCTGCTGACACTGCTGTTGCTGCTGAGGAGCCAGCCAAGGAAGAGGTCAAGCCTGCCACAGATGGAGTTCTGGGACACAAGTCCCCTGGTTTAGTCAAGTATGTCTCACTTGGTGGGGGGGGGGTTAAATGAAGCGCAATACTTCAGTGTTTATTTTTATTTTCTTATTAATTTATTTAATTTTTTGGGGGGTTTTTACATATATATAGTAGATAATGCTAACGGGTATTTGTACTTTGATTTATAGGGGATTCCGTTTTTCAAAACGCTTCTTTTGGTTCAGTGATGATGCTGTTGAGGTTAGGCAGCTCACTACGTATTTCCAGAATGAGAAGCTTAGCATTGCTCATCCTACCGCTGCCTGGGCTAGTCAGACTGGCAAAGGTCTTCTATTTTACGCTAAGCGTGCTGAGGACAAGGCTACACCCACGGGAATCGTCAACTTGGCCGATATTTCTGACATAGTCAAGGAGTCCGGACACGAATTCCAGTTCAAGGTTGCTGGTCACAAGCATGTTTTCCAGGCTGGAAGTGATGATGAGCGCGCTTCCTGGATTGCTGCCCTCGAGGCCAAGGCCGCTGAGGCCAAGAGAGAGAAAGAAACTGTCACCTCTAGTGAAGGTTACAAGGCTGAGCTGGAGAAGTTGAGTATGTATTCCTAATTGCATATGGGTTTTTTTTATATGGCGTTTCTATGTGGGAATTTCGCTAACCATACATTTAGCCAAGCCTCCCGTTGTCGCTGCTGCAGCTCCCAAGAAGAGTCTGGAGAAGAAGGAGCCTGCTAAAGCGGAAGAGGGTGAGGAAAGGAAGGAAGAGGAGAAGAAGCCGGAGCAGAAAGAGAAGAGCCGTTCTCAGTCTCGGAAGCGGGCCAGCATTTTCGGAAGTTTCCTTGGCAAGAAGGAAGAGGAAAAGAAGGAAGAAAAGCTTGAGGGCAAGGAGGAACCAGAAGTTGTTGCACCAGCTGTGGAGACTTCAGCACCTGTCGCTGAGGCGGCTGAGAGTAAGTCATAAATCTTAATAGGACATTTAAGATAGAAACTAATATTTAATAGCTCCTGTTCCTACTCCCGCTGCAGAGGAGCCGAAGGCTGAGGAAAAGAAGCCTGAAGCTAAGCCTGAGTCACCCACTGCTGGAAAAACCAAGCGGGCCTCGATTTTCGGAAACATTTTCCACAAGGTCTCCAACCAAGACAAGATTGAGAAGGACAGCGCCGTAAAGAGCACGGAAACACCTGTCTCCAGCACCGCTCCTCAACTCGGGGACCCTGTTGATGCTTCCACCTCTGAGCCCACCAAGCCCGAGACTGTAACCGCCGCTGCTGAGCCTTCCCAGCCCGCTAAGGAAGGCGAAGAACCCGTAGCCTCCCCAACCTCCGCCAAGAATAGTTTCCTGAACTTCATCAAGAAGCACGATGTATGTCCATCCAGTTCCCTAAGCGAATAGAATATACGAAAATAAAATACTGACAGGTGATCTTGATAGGACAAGAAGGAGATCAAGGCTAACGACAAGGTCGAGAAGAAATCTGAGGAAGCTCTCGAGGCATCCGCCGTAGAGGCCACCACTTCCCCAGCTACCAAGGACAAGCGTCGCACCTCCCTCTTTGGCACCCTCGGTAAGAAGGAAAAGAAGCCTGAAGGAACCAGTGACGGTGAGCAGGCTGGTGACGAGGAAGCCAAGTCCAAGTCCTCCGCATCGTCCCCTCTTCCCAAGCTTGGAGGAGTCTTCCACCGTGTCAGTAAGCCTAGCAAGAAGGATAAAGAAACCGCCCCCGCTGCCACTCCATCGGAATCCGAGCCAATCCCCGAGGGAGCTGAGAAGCCTGAACCAGTCAGCAAAGACTCTCCAGCTGAACCAACTGCCGCTGTAAATGGCAGCGAAGCCCCCGAGGAGATCAAGGATGATGCTGCCGCTGTCCCTGCAGCTTCTTCCTCCCAACCCGTCCAAGCTGCCGCATGAAATGCAGGCGCCAGGACGAGCTTCGTTGAGATCGAGAAGTGGTGGGACCAGCGGTACTTGTCTAGTCCTGGCGTGTTAACTGCCTAACAGATGATCGTAGTCCCAAATCACGACAAAAGAAAAATACCTACACTCCCCTCTCCCGCTCTAATATACCAATTACTTCCAAAGAAATCCTGTATGATGTCGTCCCACAGTGTCCGTCCCCTCCACTCTAATCTCTGGTCTTTCGATTTCATGCTCGATTACGTTGTGTCCATTTTTTGCGTTAGCACCCTTTTCTTCCGTTTCGGTGCGCTCAGTTTTATTTTTGGGAAACTATATTAAAAAAAAAGACGAGGTGGACGTGAATGATACCCCGATATCTAGTGAAATTTTGAATTTTATTGTTTTAAATTTGAATTTATTGTTTTGTCTGCACTTTCTGTATCTTTTGCTCCCTTTTAATTGTTTTCTACTTTCCTATATTCCACTCTCGCTATTGGTGGCTTCATTTGGCAACTCGTGTTACCCCCTCCTTTTTATATATGTAATTTCTCATTGATCAGTTGGCAAGTATTTGTGCGTAGCTGTTGTCCTCATTCATCCAAAGGTCTGTTGCTCTAGTCATACCCCCCAATCATCTCACACCTTTCAGTCTAACCCATTACACTCATATACCAACAAAATTCTCTTGGTAAATTGGTTTTCAATATTTAATGCACCATGTAATTAATGTTATCATACCCCCTTGTGTTGATATGCGTGTGTGTCATGAATTTCGATGCTTAAAACAGACGGCCATTTGCAATGTGTATGATGATGGCATTATGCATGAGGATATGTTGGGTGTAACAACTGGGAAAGACTTTTTGAGGCCAAGTATCAAATTGAACCTCCCAAAGTTCTGCGGAGACAATATTAATTAATTCAAGATAGTGTTTTCTGTTGTATATTTAAAGTTGAATTTGATTTTAAAAAAGTCTTATGTTTTCGAGGCTTACAGTAATTGTATTTTCATACTCCTAACTGTATTCTTGTGTTCCATAATCTTAGTTATGCAACAAAGTTTCTTAATGTAAGCGCCACAAACTGCCACAAACTGAGGGAGAAGACTATAAATTGGGCAAAGACAAACCACACCTGCAGCATAATGGCCAAGGAGGCAGTGAGGCGAGAGGTAGAGAAACAAAATATGTATATGGTGAGCTAAAGTGCCAGTGGATGTTTTACAGGATCATGTGAGGCAAGAAATGACATCTGTAGTGGCATAGAGAATGAGCATACGAAAAATGTCTGATGCCAGTGACATGAAGAAACCAGCACACGAGTCCAAAAGGAATGAAGACCCTATGCAAAAGCAAAGACAATATGAAAACAAAACGAACTTTAAAAGTGATTACAAAAGAGGGAAGGAATAATGCAGGCCAAACAAAACCTTCGTATCAGGAGTAATGCAAAAATAGAAAGATCTCTTTATTGTCTGGTTCTGTTTGCAGGCTTGCTTGCTTGGGTTCAAGAGGGGAAACAAAAAAAAAAAAAAAAAAAAAAAGTCAATTTCTTTAACTCGGGTCTGGATTTCGCTTTTCTTCTTGGTGCGCTGCACTTTAAAGGAAGAGAAGAGGAAGAAAAGTAGGAAGAGAAAAAGGAAATGTTGGGTATGGCAATTTCTCAACTTCATTCTGCGTGAAGGGGCAAAAAATAAATAAAAAAAAAAAAAATTGGCCATTTAGTTGAACAACGTGCCTATTTCCTGATTCACCAGATATCATTCCACTCTTTGCTGTGCCTTGTTTTGTTATGCGCCAATCTTGCCTTGATATTCCAGAGGCTGTGGGAGAGGCTGCGGCGTCGCAGATAGCAAGCGCTGTTGTGTAGACTCAGTGTTCACGACGCTCAGATTTTATTTCCGTGCATCGAGAGCATGTTGAATTGCTGGGTGGTTGGGAAGATCGTTAGCGAAAGGAAACATTGCACAAGTGGGAATTAAGGTGCATTTGCAGCTTACCATCGCAGGAAGCTTTCGCGTCTCCGAATAACATCCTCGTGTTAGGCATGTAGAACATGGGATTCGGTACGTCAGCTACGGAATCGAACACAATTAGTCCACCTGCCTCATCTACCCAAGCAGCTCTGGGGGTTTCCATCTTTTGGAAAAAGATTCCGGGAACGAGTGTATGAACAAGCAAGCTTACCGTATCCACTGGCCATTCCTCGTTTCATGACGATGATTTCCTTGCTCTTCCACACGTTCAAAACGGGCATGCCAGCGATGGGAGAGCCTGGTTCAAGTGCAATTGGATTGACGGTATCGTTGGCACCGATAACCAGTGTAACGTCCGTATCAGGGAAATCGTCGTTGATCTCATCCATCTCCAAGACGACTGAAAAGGAAGAGTTTTTAGTTTATTGATGAAATATGAAGGCTGGAAATGGGACTTACTATCGTATGGCACAGAGGCTTCTGCCAGAAGGACATTACATTGTCCTGGCATTCTGCCAGCAACCGGGTGGATTGCGAATCTGACTTTCACTCCCTTGGCACGGAGCATTCGAGTAATTTCTGAAATTGCATACTGGGCTTTTGCGACAGCCATGCCATAGCCGACAACCTGGAACCGGTCAGCGATCTGGAAGTTTAGTAGGTAAATGTAGACGTATTTCAAATCATACAATTATAACACTTTCCGCATTAGCAAGGGAGTCTGCAGTCTCTTCGATCGACGTTGTGGTAATTTGTCCTTCAATTTTGTGATCCGATGCAGTTGGAGAAGATATCCCACCAAATAACACGTTGGTTAAAGATCTATTCATGGCAACACACTGGAGAAAGAGGAAATCAGTAAAGGGAATAAATAATATGGCGTTCAAGGAAGAAAATTTACCATAATATACGACAAAATAGAACCGCTAACTCCAATGAGAGATCCGACAGTTGTCAACAACGGGTTGTCAAGCATAAAGCCTTCAGCAACCAATGCAAATCCAGAATAGGCATTCAGAACGGTAATTACAACGGCTGTAGGAACATATTTTTAGTCAGTTGGCTCCGGAGGAACGACGCATACAACCCTTCGCTGAAGTGTAGAGGTGGGGACGTACGCATATCAGCGCCACCGATGGCAGCTGTTGTTGTATAACCCTTCAAAAAGCTGAGAATCGTACTAGCACCCAAGCACAGAGCAGCGGTCATAGGAGCGCCCGGAGCCATGGTGACAAATGTGCCCATCAAAGCAGCATTTCCTCCAAGGAGGGATGCGTTGATTAAATGCCGCCCAGGGAGAATCGTAGCACGTGAAGACATGCGCCCCGCTAGTTTGAGAAAAGCAACGATTGAACCGGTAAACGTAACACCACCTGAGCTCAGTTAGCCATGGCCCTAAGACCGGCAACTTTTTGGAGTGGCATTCACCAATAACAACCCCCAGATATGCGGTGATGAGATGTAACGTAGAAATGTGTCCAACATCTATCAAAACGCTTCCAATGCTCGTAAGAACAGCAGCCAATCCGACGACGGAGTGTAGTGCTGCAACAGTTTGCGGCAATCCGGTTGGCGTAATGCGTCGACCGATCAGGGCACCTAAATAATTTGAATTAGAGTCGTGCCCTCTTCATGTAAAAAGACTATCGGATTCCGGTTGAGGATCTACACACCAACAATACTTCCAAACCCAGCAACTCCGATGAACTGAGCAAGAACCTCAGACGAAAAGCCCACCGCAGCTAGAGATGAGAGCATCCCAGAAGCTACACCTAGTATGCCTAAGATGTTGCCTCGTCGAGCTGTCGCTTGAGATGCAAGACCAGAAAGGGAACCTATGGTAAATCGTTAATTAATTGTAATATTAAACATCAGTAGTTAGTAGTAAGACTTACTAATACACAAGATACTGCTGACAAGATACCCAGCTTGCACAAGGCCAGCCATACCGGTGGTCGCAGCTGCGATAAAACCTCCACCAAACAACAGACCGGGTATTGCATATAGCCAGGGATATTCAGGCGGGTCCGTTGGGCCTATCATTTTATGAATCCATTAGAAAGCGAACCACGAATCGAGGAAACGAAATGTTCGAGAGCTTACGTCTGAACATATCCAACATTCGCTTGGTGATGACGAAACCACCGGAAACGTTCACAAATGCCAACAGGACCGACAATGCGCCGAGAACCTGGGGAACGGTTTCAGGAACAAACCCTCCTCCCATGACAAACAAACCACCAACACCAACCATACCTAGAGTGTGAACAAATCAGCTTCTGTTATTCGGAATGGTATTAAAGATTCTCACCTGAAATGGCGTTGGTTACACTCATCAGGGGGGAGTGCAGCGCAGGTACAACTCCCCACACCACACGATAGCCAATAAGCGAAGCAAGTCCAGCGGTAAATACATTACTCATGAACACTGGACCAGCGATCTTCCCGAGCAGCACCGCAAGTCCCATACCACCGGTAACGGTAACGACTTCCCGTGAGGTTTTCTGCAACGGGGTCATGGCTAGCGTAACACTCTCCTTGGAAATCTCAACCGTAGCGGTATTTGGAGCGGCAGCTGGTGGGGGACGGGTTCGAGGCGCGGGAGGAAGGATTTCGCTATTTTGCGTAACAATTGAGCCACGAACAACCTCGTCCGTAGGGTCTATCCCGAATTTCTTTTCCTCAGGGGCCATAGAGAGAAGGAATTTGGTGATATTATTGGAGTACAGGGTTGACGATTGTGTTGGAAGTCGTGAGGGAAGATCAGTATAGCCTAACAAGGTTTCAGTAACAATCCATGCCGATTCAAGGATACAACGAACCTATAATAGTAACGCCTTTATGAACAGATAGTTGTCCGGAAAGAGTCAATTCGCAATTTCCGCCAGCTTCAGCTGCTAGATCGACTATCACGGAGCCTGGTTTCATTGCTTCTACCATCTGAATCCCGGATTGGTCAACTGTTTTAATTTCAAGTAAGTTGTTCTATGTAGTGTATAACGCACCTCCTTTTTGATCAACTTGGGTGCAGGGCGTCCGGGAATCAAGGCCGTGGTGATCACGATGTCTACTTCTTTGCACTGTTCCATGAATAGCTTCATTTCAGCCTCCAAGAATTCCTTTGACATTTCTTTTGCGTAACCACCAGTACCAGTGCCATCTTCCTGGATATCGACTTCAATGAATTCAGCACCAAGAGACTGTACTTGTTCGCGTGCGGCGGGTCGTGTATCAAAACCCCGTACAATTGCTCCCAGACGACGGGCCTGCACAAACGGTCAGAAAAGAGCAGGGACATTATTGTTACAAAATGGGAAAGAATACGCACGGCACCGATAGCACTTAGACCAGCTACACCAGCTCCAATAACGAGAACTTTGCCAGGAGGAATCTAGACCTCCGATTAGTTTAAATATACCGGCGTCATTCCGACGATTACAAGAACGGTTTTACCTTTCTATAGCGTTGAAGTATAGGTCGTTAGCAAATTCAAGTTCTAACCGCACGGAGCTATCACAGGAATAGAATGGGGATTCCCTGCTTACCCAGCTGCTGTAACCTGACCAGGGAGAAACCGACCAAAATGGTTCGAAGCCTCTAGGATAGCTTTGTATCCAGCAATATTTGCCATAGAGCTAAGAAACCCATAAGCATAAAGTCCACTGTTTCAATATATATATATATATATATATATATATCAAGGGCGGATAAATTCTTCAATATTACCTAAGAGCATCAAAAACCTGTGCGCGGGATATGCGAGGGATCATATCCATCGCAAACGAAGTTACATGTCGAGCAGCCAACGCATTTACCACTTCCTTATTCTGTGCCGGGTATAGAAACGAAATAAGGGTGCTTCCCTCACGGAGGGCAGCCACCTCATTGTTGGAGCCATTGAGCGAGGGAGGGCGTACTTTCAGCAAGATATCACTATCTTGCCAGACAGCTTTCCTATCCACGAGAGTTGCACCCGCCTTCTCGTATGCTTCATCTGTGAACTGAGCTTGTGCTCCAGCACCACGCTCGATCAGGACTCGGGCGAATCCCTTTTTTAGCAACAGAGCAGCATTCTGCGGGGTTAGGGCAATGCGACGCTCGTTTCGGAAGGTTTCGAATGGAATTCCAACGGTGAGGGCGGACCATGGAACGCAGGTGATCAGATTCGGCGGGGTGTGGGGTTTCCTTTGCTCTTCGCTCCATGGAGGGTTGGCGGAGAAACGCCGGAGTTGGATGGCTGCCCACAAGTTAAATACCTCCCTTATTAGTCACGGAAAATGGCTTTTGGTGAGGTCTGGAAATAAATCAATGAATCCCTTTTAAAAGGGCAATTAAACCCACCAGAAAGCGCAGCAATCAGGCGCTGGGTGAGTTTTTCGGCGTCCGAACTGCAAGGCCGCAGAGCCGGACGTATTGTCAATGGCCAGCTCATGCTCGCCATTTCAGACCTATGGCGGACGATGGGGTTCTAAAGTGATGGAAAGCTGGCATCTGCCAGACACGGAAAAGGTGGTGACCAGTATCCGGATGGGTTTGGTGCTTGTTCTAACTCTACTCAAGTTTCAGAGTCTAAGTTCGGGGGTAAAAGAGGCCGCCGTTGAGGTTGCTTTCGGGGTGCATGCTACGGCGATGCGGGGGACCGTTCCACCAGAAGCAGCGCAAATTGTTTGGGAACAATGACAAATGAGGGGAAGTGAGAACTATCGGGTGGGCCATGCACGATACCTAGGCAAGGTGGTATCGAGGTCCGTGTTGTAGTGTGGTATGTTTGGTATCAATTGAGGGGGGTTGGTGAAAAAGACAGCTACGGTGTGGTTGGTGGATGATTTTTTTAGCCGAGTGGGATGTGATGTTGTTGGCTGCAGAGCTCTCAGGCACAGCCGCGGACTTGGATAATAATATTTATTCTACGAGGGATATACTAATTAGCTGTCAGTTTACGAATCATAATCCACAGGAAGAATAATTCAATGACTAGGGCTGGAGGTGATTTTATTTACTGTTTGAATTTGTAAGACAATCTTAACTTTTTGACCCCTGACAGGCCAACCAAATCTAAAGTCTCTTGCTATTTTGCTTTTGCCGCAATTTCTCCCTATTTGTGGGCTACAGATTGAATTCCGAAGAAGCAGTTAGCTAGTTAGCTGATTGCTTCGGACGCTAGGGAATTGGAGAAGAGGAAGCAAAGGAAAGTAGTAACATGAGGCCGAATGCTCTGCTTGCTTGATTACACACAAATATAGTTATATATAGATAGTTATATACAGTATCACAGAATCACAAACCTGACTTATTTATGTAATGCAGAATGGGGGGTTATTGTCGGCCAATCAGTGATTCCAGTCCGCAGAAATGCATCCCCGAATAGAGTCAGTTTCTGGTTTTGTTTTTCGCTATTAATGGAATATTTTTTATGAAGTCTAAATGAGAGCTTTGCATCCATGTTTAATTATAGGATTTCCATATATCTCACCTGTTGATCCGTGACCGGCACTATCACATCTTCATATGGAGAATCAAAGCCTCACCCCCAACTCCTTCACGGATAGTCGATCTTTTTTTGTATCAACAGTTCAGCGCTTAAAAAGATCACTGTGCAATCTTGGTAACGAATATCGATTCAACGGGCAATCCAGGCCAGATAGAAATCTAGTATCCAATTAACTCTTAACGGAGTTGAAGCTCTTATAACTAGTTAATCCCAGCAACTTAAGTTATCAAATGTTTGGTAGTTATGGCATGGCATGGACTGACGGCTAAGAACAGAGAGCGTATGCATCCAGATCCTCTGATTGAAAAGCCCAGTATCCTCCAGCACAGGCAAGACTGTAGCAACATGTCTGTGCTATGCTGGCGTACAAAAGGAATTTGAACATCTTGTACTCCGCTTCATTCTCCAAGCAATCAATCATTGAAAACTAGTTTTCAAGCAGGGAAACTTTGTCACGATCATCATATCGCTCGTATGCCTCAGGTCACCGCTACGGCGGCCGTATGCCTCGCTTATGACTAAGCTCGCGTGCGCCCGCACACACGTATATATATATTTTCATTCTTTTCTCGCTATTTTTTTTCTCTCTTCTTCTTCTTTTTGATAGTCTCATTGTTATAGTCAGATAGATTAGCTAGTCATTACGAATACTACTTACTATCTCATTGCCTGCTACGTTCTGACCATTCGTCACAAACTTTTTGTCCGACGGAGCTTAAAATCAAGACATCTATACCCTTTTGTGTTCCCAAACAAAGCCAAACAATAAGCTTGGAAAGCTAAGACGGGACCTGACAAGAGCATTAGCCCGGCTGTCGAGGTTGCATTGAGCCTTGTTGTTTCTGTTTCTCCTGAGTCTTTCGTTGTGCATCTGATGCCCTGGCATCATCGTATTGTGTTACAAGGGTAGAGGAGGCCCCGTCCTTCCAGTAAATAAATATATAAAGGAAAAATTGGACAATTTGAACTTTTACTGACAAGGGAAATTGACAAAGGCATTGAGGAATTCCAGTCTCATTTCGATAACTACGCATTCATAGGTTCTTATCAGCGTCATGTCGTGCAATGGACACGGACGGAATCAATCTATTTTGATGGACACATAGATCCATATACCAGAAGACACTCCGCACAAGAAATACGTTTCCTGCAAGTGGGAAGCAAACTTGGTGCTCTCAGATGCGATAACTAAGACAGGTCTGGCTTCGGGAGGACAACTACGAATCGAATGAAGACTGCCTTGAACGTAAGTTTCCGTGGAATTTAGGAATAAAATGGAGCGAAAACAAAATAGACCGTGGAGCTCGAAGAAATGGACAGGTCCGAAAGAGTTTGTTGGAGTCCTCTGCTGGGTAACCTACCAGCAGTTCGATGAAGTATGCGTGAGGGGAGAGTCGAGCCAGCGGCAGGCAGTAGTTAAATATGAATGGTAGTTATTAGTTATCAACTATACGGCCGAGTAAGAGAAATATCAAGCCCAAAAAGCAACCCGCAAGCCTTCTTGGTATTTGCTCTACGTTGCATTCTTTGGTTGCCTACGTCTTTGATTTTGAGAGTTGATTAGACTTCAGGGCCATGTGTGCATGTGCTGTGAAGAAAACATCTGCCTAGTAACCAGGGGTTAAAATTCCCTACGAAGTCAATTGAACTATTAATTGGTTTCAACCTCAGATGGCCACAGACGGACAGATATATCAAGATTTTTCCCAGAACGTCGAATATTCGAATAATCAAGGCTTCCTGGAAGGATTTCCGCCATCACCCTGGCGGGAAACCGTGGAATCGCACATGGAATAATATTTTAAGACTATGACGTTTGTTTTAGAGTTCGCGGTTTCAACAAACTACGGAAAAAGGGAACTTTGGGAGACTTCGTTCTGTCCAATGCCCGGTCGCAGCTCATCCAAGAGCCCTATCTCATTGCTGTGAGAGGATAGATTTTGCTGTTCCAGCGAATCTACTCTGGATAAGGCGTGACTTAGTGATGACGCTGATGCGACGGAAAACACATCACGGTGTGAGCATGTATGCTCTAAGCGATGTGCATGTGCAGCAGAACAGATGCACCAACGGGCGCAAAGGACCTCGGTGGAAACAGTCCCAAGGGATGATTAAAATTAGACCTAGATTTCTCAGTCGAACCGTCACAAGGTTGGATCCAGTGTTCTCACAAAGGGCGCAGGCTAAAAATAATATGTGAAGTAAATAGCCAGAAAGTAAAACCAGAGTTTCACCCCAAAAAGTTTCCCGTGATTTTCTATTTTTTCCCCAAAACGCCCTGTTTTTGACATCCCGCATGAAACTGGGCGGAGATCTCCGCACTACAATTGATGGATTAAAAAAAAACGACTGGTGAATCGAATCCTAGGTTCCCCCGGAGATTGGAGAAAAACCCTTCGCAACTCCATTAAATATAGATGTCATACAGGAACAGAATCCGGAATCCAAGAAGTTATTATTTTTAACCCCCTTTGCGTGTTCCCCTGAGACTCGAGAGGAGTGAGAGATTATTATTAATTTTGGCTGCAACGTTAGTTATTAAGAAAATGCTCGATTGAACTCGGGGGTGAGTCAACGCCTCTCCCCAACGCTAGCCTGATCAGGCTCAACTTGGGGCAAGTCGCGGTATCCCGTGACCCCGCGGCGGGCTCAGGAAGAAGAACAGCGCGGCGGCTCACTTGGCGTGACTTGATTGGTTCCCTGGGAGCGTTCTCTGGGGTACCTCAGGCTACCAAGATCTATATGCAAGACTCGGCACTGGAAGCAAGTACAGCCAGGTACCGGGGCCGCGCTCTCGCTCCACTCCGCATTTCCTCCGCGGGGGACGGGTTGGGGTTGGGGTTGGGGGTTGGTTGGCCTTGGGCTAGCCCAGGGAGCGCGTCGCGGGCGGACCCGAATGGCCAGGAGTTGGCCAATGGGAGCAAAGGACGGGCTATGACTCACACTTTGGAGCGGTTCAAATGCGCGCTTGACTTGATTAGGACTAGCCTCTGTGTCGGTGTGCCGGGTTGGGACTAGCGGATATCTGCTCTTTCAGCCTCTCGCGCTAAGCCTCTTTGGGTCACGCGGAGGGCCTACCTTGAATAATAATATTAATAGTTGCCTGATTCCCACTTCTGCTAAAATTTTCTCGTTCTTTCTGCTAAAATTTTCTCGTTCTTTTTCTGTTGTAACCAGCCAGCTTGAGTTCCCCACTCTCAACCTATATATCATCACGACTCCCATCACAACGTTACTCGTTGCATCTAGGCAGGAACCGCTCGCATAAGTCTTCAAATAATCCAATCAGTCGATCAAGAGGACTCTACGACGATGGCTTCTTTCTAAGCCTCTGGCTTTTGCGTTCTATCCTCGCTTCCTGTCTCTCCGAGAAGGACCGATATCGTAGCTTCCATCCAGTTGACAATTCAACCCCTCTCAACTCCCCCTTCAGAGTCTCCTTTCCAAGGACCTCTGGATTTCATAGCTCAGTGTAGCTCGAATTCCTCGCTCCCCGTCACCATTCCACCGTTCGACATCACGTCGTTCAACACGGACAAACTACAGCCACCATGCTCTTCTCAACCCCCATCGTTGCAGCCTCCGGCTCAAAACACTCCGCACTTTCATCAGGACGACTTTGTATTGTACCCCAGTCCTCCCAAGACTGTTCGTCAAGCGCGTCACCTTGCTCAGCGTGCGCCCGTCTCCTCCTCGAGTACCCCTAGGACCCATCCCCAGACTTCTTCGGATCTGTCCTTACCTTGCACTCAAGATCCTCAACGGCATTTGTATCATCCACAGCTGCCGAAGAACGTCGTTTTCAGCGGCTCCCTCGTTCAGGATCCCCGAGTAGCCAAAGTTATTTCGCAGTCTCAAGGGTTCTCTTCGTCGTCGTCTTCAAACCAGTCCAATCCTTCTGGTGTGAGGCCCGCAAGTTTCTACGCTGCTTCGGCCCCCTCCAGTTCACCTCGATCCAATCGTCCCCCAGTTCCATTGTTCAACAACAGCGCGGAAAACATTTCTTATCAGAACTTGACCAGTCAGCAATCCTGTCGTCGCATCATGTCTACCCCTAGTATCCCGCAGGGTAAGTGTATTTTGCTGTCCCCATATCACGCAAATTCTTGCAAGGATGTAAAAGCCAACGCCACTCCAGATTTTGCCGAGCTGCTCGACTTCCCTGCCCATCTTGGTGCAGAGGACTTAATGTCTTCTGCTGGCACTATGGATTTCACTTCCATCAACAATTCTCTCAAGTTGACCGACACGGCCACTGTCTCACCCAAGGATCTGATGTTGGATGTTACTTTCCCTCCTTCGACTTCTTTCACAGATATCAGTACTCCTTCCTTCGATTCTCCCGGTTATTTTAGCCAAAATACTTCGCCTCTTTTCTTCGCAGATTCCGATCTTGCCCCCGGCCACGAGCACTGGGACTCGTTATTCCCTAATGACCACTCTTGCTCAACCATTGAGAAGTCCAACTTGATCCCTACCTTGCCCAAACCTGTTTCCACTTCGGCGTCTTCCTCTTCACCGGCACTGAAGGGTGAATCTTCATCAGAAGGTTCTCCTCGCCCAGGCCGTTCTCATCTTCGTCATTCATCTATTTCAGGCGTGAAGCCTCGTCATCGTGAGAAGCCTCTACCACCAATCGAATATGATCCTAAGGATACCACTGCTGCCAAGCGTGCCCGCAATACCGAAGCTGCTCGGAAATCCCGTGCTCGTAAAGTTGAGCTGCAAATGCAAATGGAGGCCAAGATTGCTGAGCTGGAAGCTTCCCTAGCTGAATCTCGTAAGCGAGAAGCTTACTGGAAGTCTGTTGCTGAAGCTAGGGAGTGAACTCTTTTCTGTCTAGACGTTGACTAAAGTTTTTCTCAATGTGTTGCCTTGTTTGTGTGACTTGATCTGACGAGAAAATCTGATCTACCTCTTGCCAATATTCGTTTTTCGTTTTGTTATTGGAATCATCAGTGATGATGGGAGGTTGGGACAAAGGCCATGTTTTAAGTGGAACTGTCAATTTATATTTGGGTAGAGACGGTGCATGAGCCCTTCTCGTCTCATGCCCTGTATCCTTATATTCTTTGCAGTATCACTTCATCTTCAATCTTCCATATCTGTCGACCGATTTGTTAAATATTTTGCTTTCATTTTTCGGGGTTCGAACTCGACTCGGATCGTGATGGTTCGTTCTCTTTGGATTCTGTTATTGCAGCCACATCTGAGAGACAATCCCCACTTTCTCCTTCGGCCATTTGGCAACTATTGTTTTTTTTTTTTTTTTAATAACCGGCCGGTTCTGACTGTCTCCTCGCCGCTACTTAGGCGGGATTGACTCGTGGCCCAGTTGTGTACTTCTAGTCGAGTTTTCTGTTTTTTCAAACTTCGAGTCCCTCCGCTCACTGCTCTACTATTACCTTCCTGCCTGCTGTATTCCTGATATAATATAGAACAAAACACAAAAAAAGAAAGAGTATAGAATTGATCATTGTTCTCATTCTCTAAACACTGCTCTCTTGTAAGGAATTGGTGATTCACTGACAATGCGAATGAATTCCTCCCAACTCCAAACATAATGTTTCCCTCATGGAAAAGGAAAGTGATACTTCTCCCGGAGAGTTCGGATGGTCAGCGGTGATCACTTCTGCTTGCGGATGGAGTAACTGCATAGTTACGGATACGAAAGATGTCATCACTTGACATTTCAGGGGGTCTTGGCGACGCCCATGTGCACACAAGGATGCAAGAGGGCGGAAAAGCAAGGCAAAAACTGGCTTCAGGTACAGACGCAAAAATTATATGTCATACTAACTCCTTCATTGTTATTTGCAGTGTCTTTACAGAACTAATAAGAAAAAAAGGATTAAAACCCCCACAAGCGAAATAAGGAGTGTAAGGGATAGCCTTTTGAATTTTTCTTGATCCTGGAGCCGCTAGGGAATAAAAAAAAATATGAAACCCCTTTCAAGTTCTGAAGTTCTCACAATTCATCCTCAAGCCAATATGCATGCATGCTCTCTAAAGGAGATCCCACATCCAGAGTCAGACTACATCGTTTTCATCCTCTATTCTAGGCTCTGACGATGTATGAGGGCAATAACTCTGTATTACCTCCGCAATAGCCTTATACCCTTGCGGTTTGGGATGGAAGACGCGTGCCAGACCTGGTTGGTTGGGATAGCGATTGATAGAAAGACCATTTCCGTCATCGTCGTCGTCGCTGTCATTACCGTCGTGTGGATATTCCAAACCTTGCTTATGTTGTACCATAGCAATCCCACAGGCAGCCCGGTAGCCCCAGTCGCCCGAATCCAACGACTGTTGCGCACACGTGTCCACGTCCATGTCCAGGTCGAAACCCGGGTCGAGGGCATCGTCATTAGTCAGGTTGGAGGAGCGGAAATCAACATCGAAAAACCATGTATTATCCCCATCAGTCGGCTTCGATTTACCCGGTTGGCAGAAGAGATGATTCTTGAACTGAGGAGCCCAGTCAACCCAGACAATTCTATCATCCCCCCTTTCGTTGATGATCTCAACCATTCTATTGTTCAGATGGAGGGATACATCATTCAGTTGTCTCCGCAGTTGCACCGTAAGCTTTGGCCGCCACATTTTCCAGTATCCGAAGGACATATTATTGCATTCATCGGTAAGGGCGTCATCGAAGAAGGGACTGTATCCAAGGGCAAGGATGCGAAAGTGCGGGCCAGTCCCTTTTGCCAACAGTTCAACTAACACCTTATCATACGTTTGCGCGAACTCGTCACTATCGATGAGTTTCAGCGATTTGCTCAGCTGCTCAATACAATTTCCCGACCTGATGCCGTAGAAGCGATAAATGCATGCGTTGAGGATATCAAAGAAACCAGCATCGTTACCCCCAATCGACAACGTGACTAGATCTGTACGTTTTAGAGCCTTTATCTGCCTAGCGATGGCCCTTTGCTTGTTGAAGGAAGTGCCCGGTATGCCCATAACGGCTCCCGAGCAGGCGAGGAACTGGAAGGAGTGGTTTTGTCCGAGAACGCCTGTGCGGATCAATTGTATTGGATAGCTCTCTCTAAACCGCCAGCAGGAACGATGAATTTGTTTGCCAGCGGCGATTCCGGCAGCATAACTGTCCCCCAGCGCCGCATAGTTTGTTATCACAGACGGGATTGTTTGATTTTCGGCGACAAAGGCTGTGGCAGGTTTATTTTTTAAAAAGAAATATTTTCCCGTAGTTAGTAATCAGGGTAAGTTGGGTTTGACACTTTGATTGCTTCCCCTTTTTTGGACAACTTACGCGATGGCAACTCCTCTGCATAATAGGCAGAAAGCAGGGAGGCTAAAAAGCAGTATGCAACACAAAACTTTATGGATGTTGAGAAATACATTATCGGAGGGGATTAAAGGTGGAAAATACATAGCAAATCTATCTAAGGGGGGAAGGGATGCCAAAAGGGGGTTGGTAATGATTGTAGAAGTAAGTTGACGATAGCCTCTGTCCCTTTTGCATGTAGCAATCACAACAACAGCATCCGCTTGATACCGGCACAGACAAAACGGGGAAGCATATGTATTTTCATTAAGAAACAGGCAGGATCTATTCTCCATATACTTCTGAGGTTGGACGAAGCCATATCATCCGCCGTTTGTGCTTGCACAAGTTGGTTTGTTTGTTTACTCGGTTCAGCGACAGTTGTTGAAGGGAAGCCATCGCCCTGCTCGACCATATCATATCGCAATATAAAAGGCTGTCTGATATATATATGACTGGCTACACTGCTGTGAGCTGTGATACAGTGGATGACGCTGCCCTCATATCTCTTGGGAAGACGTCGATACACATCATTCTGTTTGATAGTTGGGCGAACCATAGGACGCATAGAATGGAAGATTTCAAGGGTAAAAATGGGGAAAGTGAGTAGAAGAAGTATCTCATCCACGGATCTCATCCTAAAATTGTACCTTTCTGAACCCCAAATAAGGAGAGTTAAATGGGTCGGCACAACAAAGGCTACTTAGCTCACAGCGGGCCCAAGTTGTAAGAAACTGAAGTCCAAACCCGGGATGTTGTCGTTAACTTGTTAAGAGGATCGTGACTATTAGTCAGCAGCCACCTGATCCCGACGAACTCTGTCCTCGGTCCTGACCAGAGCTTGAGCAGTGTGGTTTTCTTATATGCAAGAATGGCAATAAATGACCCATAACTGCTTGGTTTGGATACATGAGGATCCCAATCCTTACTTTGTGGGCTAAGCTGAAAGATGACTTCGGGAATCGTTCAACCGCAGACACTCCGCGGTGATGTCAGTGGGGTATCCGCCCACATTCCAGTGGTCGATTTCTCCAAATGGGTCCCAGAAAACACACCGGAAGAACGGATGAAAGTCGCGAAAGAGATCGTGTCCGCATGCCAGAATGTTGGCTTTGCATATATTATTAATCACGCCATTTCCCCGGAGCGGCTGGCGGAGTTGTTCGCTTGGTCAGAAAAGTTTTTTGCGCTCAGCGCGGAAGAGAAGCTCCAGGCGCCACATCCAGAGGGTTCCTTAATCTATCGCGGATATTCCTGGCCGGGCCTTGAGAAGGTATCTCAGGTGATGAGCGATATAGCTTTGCCAGAGTTGGCGAAGAAGCTACGAGAGGTTACCGATTATAAGGTATCTTTGAGTTATAATAATGTTTTAAGTTTACTGTGCCGCGCTGCTATCATGTAATTTTTGCATTCTTTGCCAGGGCAAAACAGGCATTGCGCTCATATTATATTTATTTTTGCCTGTATAGGAAAGTTACGATATGGGGAGCGACGAAGCTTCGCACCAGCCAAACGTCTGGATTCCCGAAGATACACTCCCTGGCTTTCGAGACTTTATGACCAAGTTCTATTGGGAATGCTTCGGAGTTGCTAGCGACATTCTCAGAGCAATATCCATTGGTATTGGTCTTGAAGATGAGAATCACCTTCTCAAATTGCACTCTGGCCACAACAACCAGCTTCGGCTTCTCCATTATCCTTCTGTGCCTGCCGCAGCGTTGGAAAACGAACAATATGCTCGTATGCCCGCCCATACGGATTGGAGCTCGTTAACCATGCTCTTCCAGGATGACTGTGGCGGTTTGGAAGTGGAAAGCATCGAGCGTCCTGGCGAGTTCATTCCTGCCACCCCGATCAAAAACGCCATTGTTATCAATGTTGGGGACCTGCTCCAAAGATGGAGCAATGGTAAGACTATCTTCTCGTCTCCTGTAACACCCCCCCCCCCTCCCTTCCGGCCTTCCTCTTACGAGAAAGTCCAAATTACGAATAAGAGTGCAATTGAAACCGGAGGATTTCAATGTTTATAATAAAAGTTGGGAAATTATACATATCTCCTGCAATTACATTTTAACTTTTGACAGATCACCTTCACTCAACCTCTCACCGCGTTACAATCCCCCCTCTCGTTGATCGACTTGAAGGAGTCAACCGCATGGTCAGGGAACGTTATTCTATTCCGTATTTTGTCGCCCCGGACCCCACGTCTGTTATTGAGTGCCTTCCCACCTGCACCAGCGAGAGTAATCCTCCCAGATACTTCCCCATTTCGCAGGGCGAGTACAACCGAATTCGGTCCATGATGCACTACCCAAACCCAGCAGCCGAAGCCGGTAGTGGAATAGCGTATTGATAACGGGAGTTCTTTTTGATTTAATGATTTCTATTGTTGCCTATAATTTGCAAGTCAGGTGATCGAAGATGTAAGTTGAATAAACTCTATTTTAACTACGTTAATAGGCGACTCTAGTATAACATACAACCCCACTCAGTTTTAAATATCCGTTGAGTTGTGGACTGGATTGGTGGTTCCAGT